TTCTGCAGTTAACCGAAGTATTTTACAGTATTTTCAGATGTAATTTTACTATTTTCTAAAAATACTTCATATCTTTAAAAATAGTGGGAAAATCATGACTAATAAATTCACCACCCTTAAAATATATTGTTCAAAAGTGTTTTTCCAATGACTCCATATATTGGTAAGATCTAGCCACGTTTCATATTATTTTCTAAAAATATGCTAAATATGAGACAATGGGTCTAAATCATTCGACAAAATATTGATGATTTTCTTCCCTTTCAAACTGGCTAAACTGATAATTATACTATCTTATGCCTCAGGCTGAGGAGGTTATATTGTAATGTCTGGGAATATTTACTATAATTTAGAATTCAATAAAAGGACAAATGTTTCTAAGAGATAATGGAATAACATATTAATAATAGTGACTGTTGATCAAAAAAGCTGATTTCTCTGATATGTGATCAAGGTATGGGATTTAGGTTATATCCATAAACTTAGTTTTGGCCAGGTGGCTTTGGCTGGGTGATAACTGGATGTTTAAATTAAGTTTTTCATACCTGGGTCATAATACAAACTTGAAGAAACTGCACTGGCATCCTTTTAGGCTCTCTGACACAGAAGGTTGTCTTTAAATAACTAGCGTAACGACTACTATTAAAATATTATGGTACAGAAAAGTTTAGTTACGTGTATTTCTTTGTTTACTGACACACCCCAAAATAAAGCTGCCAAGGTAGTTCAAGATCTTATCACCATTCAGAAACTTTTGGCAACACACCAACTGGCTAAAGGTTAATAACACAAACACAGATCTTGGAAGTATTTATTGTAGATTATGTAGGAATCTGGTGCTTGATTCTCACCAGGGTATCCCTTTTGTGTATAGGAAAATTCCAGAATATAACAGATAACCAAGCACCAGTACTTCTGCAACAAATATCTTTCATTGCATATATCTCTTTTACAAGGCATGGGAGAAGAGAACTTGAAAGTTATTAAAGATAATTAACTATATAAAATAACTTACTATTAAATAGACGAATGCCCTGGAACCTTATAATAGAGACTCTGTCCCTATTACATGAACCTGGATTTGTGGGTCATACTCCCACAGGTTGACTATGAGAAAAGAGTATACGACCTAAGAACTACAACCTGTCTACAACCACACCCAACTACTTGGCCCATAGTGGAAACTCTGTATTTGTTCCGCAAAATAATAAATGATTTAGTGAATACTACTGCTTTCAGTGGAATCTCAGTAGATTAGGCATCATCAGGTTTGAATTCAGCAGATTCTGAAACTATTGCAAGACATTCTATTACCAGGCCATACTATCTAATATACTACCAAGTTAGCTTAGTGCCATGAAAAGAATGTAAAGTAGGAATAGAAAAACCAGGCCCCATCCTGGGTCACCACGCAACTGGCATGAATGTGGAGTGACTTGCACATACCTTCTAAGGCCTAAGGCTTTTGTTTCCCCTTTTGAAACTGGGATGATAACTGCCATTTCCCAGATGTGACTGTGCGTCAGATGAGACTGAATCATAGTCAGCTAAGGATAAAAGTGGCATCAGAAATCAGACTCAAGATGTAAAAACAAATGGGGAAGTTAAGGCTCAGAGACAGTGAGTTGCCCAAGATCATAGCAGATAGTTAGAAAGCTCAACTGGAAGCTATTCATGATAATTGAATAGATTATTATACTTACATAGCAATTACATTATACACAAAAATTTTTTTTTTTTTTAAGAAAAGAAATACTTACAAGTAATGGCAGTAATTAATTACATTATCACTGGGAAGCGTCCTTCTTGTTTAGGGACCCTCACAATCACCTAATCGAATATCTACTTTTACAGACGAGAACCTCAGAGTACAGAAACTGAATGAGAACTGAGGTCTCCTTTTTCTAATAAAAATGCCATTTTATTTTCAAAAGCACTTATATATTATAAAGGGCTTTAGAGTATAAATGGTGGAGATGAAAGTTGAGAGAGAAAATTATTGTGCATAGGGTTTGAGAGACTGAATGGTGCAACTGCTTTTGGAACTGTGTGGCTGTAGACATTTATTTGCACGAGTTATTTATTTCTTTATTTATAGTGTAGGGGGTGGTGGCGGGAGGGTAGAATGAAAGGGTGGAATAGTATATGTATTCTGCCTAGATCTGAGAGTCAGGACTTAAATCTGTTAGGAGAATGAATTAGCTATTGAAGTTGAAAAGGACTTTCCCATGAAATTTATTGTGAGATTCAGGGCAAAAGTACTGCCATTTAGGGTGTAGATGTCTATGTGTAATATTAAGAATTGTACTTTGGGCATTTATATTATTGTGATCTCAACTTTGCACACAAGTTGGTATGATCCAAGACAGTTGGATTATGTATAAGTAGTAATAAAACTATAGATGCACCCTCACTTAAAGAAACTGATGCAGTTTGTATCTTGGGGTCATTTTCCAAACAATGTATAACCTTAGTACATTTAATCTCTGTACTGTTGTTAAATTAATATTGCTTAAACAGAACTTTGTAGCTCTATTTTCAGAATCCTTTGTGTCCCTCCTCTATGCCAATGGAATAAGCTCTTTTGGCTTCTGTCTACTGCTTTATCCCAAAATACTGCCCAAGTAGATGCAATAAAACAAAAAGCTTAGTGGGGCATCAGATATGCTGAGAGTCTAATCCTGGCTTCATCATTTACTGACTTTGCAACCTTGAGCAAATTCCATATACAAGCCTCATGCTAACTGAAGCAATGCAGGTCAGCTCATGACTCTGTTATAATGTTTGGCCCAGAAATGTTAGGAATGATAATTAGAATGTTGAGATGTATGGTGTGATGAAAATTATGATAATGAAAAGCAGGAAGAGGAGATCCTTGTAAGTTCTGTGCTTTCTTGCTTTCATTGCTTTTGCACATGGTTTTTCAGCGGAGGGAAATGCTCTTTATTTCTATTATAAAACTTAACAAAGTTTTAAAGATACAACTTATATCCTACCTTCTAGAGTCTAGCAAAGGGTCTTGCAATAATGCTTCTTTGTCATGACAATAATGATTAATAAATATACCTGATATTAGAGGAGCGTCTCCCAGGAAGAAAACATAAGTCAGATATAATATACCATTGCCCATGCTGTTAAGATGATACTTGATATTTGTACTTCTGCTAATTGAAAAGTGTGAAACGGTATGATGTGTGTGCATATGTATGTCAAAATACATCTTTACAATTCTTTAGGTGGCTGTTTAGATTCATCTTATGTCCATATTATATTCTAGAACCTTTTATTGCTGGGGGAACCAGTTTCCCCCTCAAGCTATGTTTGCCCATGCACAATTAGAGACAAAAATAATTAGAGGAAGCTCTGTTCAGAGAGAAGGGGAAATGTATTAAAAATCAGTCAATATCTGTTCTATGGTAGGAAGAACTAAATCACTATTCTAAATCTATCAAAGAAAAACCTTTGAAGTCTCACTTCATGCGTCATTTAAATACTTGGCAATTACTCATCTCACATAAACGTGGCCCCTTTCCAGTGTGTAGAAAAAGTGACTCTTTTCAATGACATGTATATATGATTTGATCTGAAAGCAATTCACTTTTCTTTAGACATTGATATGTGTATATGAAACTTACGGTGCCAAGGTCAATGATGAAGCAGTCACCCTTGTTGAAACTGACCCAGCTAAGGGGAACTTCTGTGGCTCTCACCACTCTACGACCCTTCACATGTAGGAGCCTCTTGGCTGTCAGGTCGTTTGTAAGAACGTGGTTTAATCCAGATGCCACGCCTCCAGCCTGATGAATGGAGGGAAGACACACAAAAAACAAAGAGAAAACTGATGAGGTGTCTACCTAGACAAAGCAAAGTACAATAATACGGCTGGTGTTTGTGTCAAAACTGTACCATCAGGCCAAGTTAAAATAGCCACCTATTCCATAAGACAAGAGAGAACCCCTTGGTAATCAACAGATTGTGTTTGTTTGGTCTCTTTATTCTTTCTGTTTCAACCATTCAATTGACAACTGCAAGTATTTACTGAGAACCTTCAGTGTATAAAACGCTGCTGCAAAAACAAAAAGAAGAAGCCATAGCTCTTGCCCTTTGGACACTAATGATCCCCAAATCATTAATGAGCAAGAAGGCAAACATTTCAGGGAAGAAGGTGACAGGTGGCTAGAGGAGGATCAGAGATAACACGTACAGATGACAGCAGCCAGAGAAGAAGGCACCCAAAAGTTCACACTGGTACAGGGTTGGGACAGAGATGGTTATTGAGTGCTGGCCAGGAATGGGCTGATCTTATGTATGGTCCTTGTTTTTACATTTAAAGTAATCAAATGTCTTCTATATTTTCTGGTAAACAGGTCTTACTATTAATAAATATGCTAGGCCTGAGTGTTTTTACTGTAAGCTAGGAGAGATGCAATATCTTGACTGTACATCCCCAGCCAAAACAAAACAAAATAAAATGAAATACAATCACACTGAATTAAAGAAACGCTTAAGAAAAAATATTAACTGTATCAACTACATCTTCTTATATTATTTGCAATCATCTTTTACCTTTTCATTTTTTCTAATTAAATGATATGAACCATATCCTTATTTCCACAATTAATTATAATTAATTATATGTGCATAACTGAGCTGCAGAATAAACAAAACTGTCACTGATAGATTAAAGACCTCTATAATAATGGTAAGGAAAATTAGAGCTAATTTGTCATTAGCACATTCTTTTCCATTGACTTTAAATTTCCACCATTCTCCAAGAAAAGTTGGTATAGATTAAATGTTAATTTCAGGACAATTAAAACCTCAAATTAAAAAATATATATATAATGATTTCCTACTCCATAATTTTACAACGACTGCCACATTT